GAGGGCTCGGGGTGGGCGGGCCTGCCCGGAGAGCCCGCTGGGGGCGGGGGAGCGGAGGGGCTGCCCCGGCACCGGCTCCCCGGTTCGTTCCCACAGCGGGAGCGCTGTAGAAAACCAGGGGTAGCAAAGCGCCGAAGAGACGCTCTCTTCAGAGCTCTCTGAAGGGGGGCCGCGCTGCCAAACCCCCCGCCTTCCGAGCGATCGCGCGAGGGAAGTTTAACCCAAACCTCGTTTTTTAATTCGTTACGGGTTGCGCGGAGGACTCGGTATTTAATTTCCCTGCAGGCTGGGGGGGCTCAGGGGCTGCAGAGATAAGACCCCCCCCCCGCAGCCCCTGCCCCAGGGGCAGGACGAGGAGGAGGAGGAGGAGGCAGCGATGGATGCGGTGGCAACAGTCCTCGTCCCGAGGTGGATGCAGCATCCCAAGACCCGACATCGCTGCTTGCTGGAGCTCGCAGTTAGATGTAGGCAGTTTCAAGCTGTTTTGTGGAACAAAACCCCCAGCCTCTTGGGTTCTAGTATGAGGAGCAAAGCGTAGATCGCTGGATACGGCAAGGCTAGAAAGCGCTGCTTGAAAAGCCCAGAAGAGCTTCAGCTCCCTTTGCTACTCTTGTGGTTGAGAAGAATCACATCAAAAAGCCCTTAGGCCAGCACTCAAAATGAGCACAGTCCTGCTTTGCGCAGGAGATGAGCTGCAGCCTCACCTCCAGCAATTACCAAAGCTACAAAAGATAATTTACAGATTCCACTTGCGAGGTCTCCATCCCCCAACTTTACATTGACAGGCTTAAAACGCAGGTTTTACAGGCAGGGAAATTAGCACATCACGCAGCTCCGTACTCTTCACAACAGTCATGGCAAATTACCAAACTCTTTGTTACACAACCTCCCTTCAGAGAGACAGCCTCAAACCAATGCCTTTGGCTCAAATGTCCCACTCTTTGTATGAAATAATAGCCCCGAATGCTACAACTTTTCATGGGGATTCAGGCCAAAGGTGTTTGGTGCAGATGTATATCCTTGGAAAACTCCGCTTTCCCTCAGTTTTGGTCCTTCAGTGTTTGCAGGTCACGTGAGGTCTTGTAAATACAGGCTTGGCTCAAGACCTGCTGGCACAGGTTTGTTTTACACACAGTCTGTGCTTATTTTGTCTGTGTATCCTTTTTTTATATCTTTGTTTATCTGAAAGAATCAGCCCTGGGGAACAAGTGTTCCTGACCTGTTTCGCCATCGCACCTCTTCCTGCATCTTTCTGTTTCATAAGGAAAATGGGCTGCTTTCTATATCAGCTTATGCACTTGCATTACATCCCTACTTCAGGGGTTTAAGGCATTTTATAAATACAAGTCATCTAAGCTTCCTCATCCCTGGTGTGAGCTACCCCTCATCTTCCTGACAGATAGCAAAGCAAGAAGCATAGAGGAATAGGGAGTGTGTGCCGTGTCATGCAGCAAGTCAGAAAAAGCATGTAGGAGAATTCTTTACAAGTGCTGCAGCTGCAAAAAAGATGCTTCATCCATCTGAAAAATGCACAAACCAACCAGAGATTGTCATCTCAGATACTTCGGCAGACCTAGGAGGGAAGCCACTCCTCTTTGGGGCATGGAGTCACTATTTATTCAGTGCAAGGACCAGCACCTCTTTATTTGCAGCATATTAAAAAAGCAGGGAAAATACTTTTAAAAGCCCCTTACAGAAAAGGCTGCTGGCTGGAGATGTTTGTTCCAAAAAGAAAAACACAGTCCCGTGGTTTACCTCCAGGCTAGCTTTTATCAGGGTCTTCACCTATCACCATGCTGCTTCTCCCGGCTGCAGTCAGATCTGAAATGCTCTGTAGATGGAAAAGAGCTTAGAGCAATCTCTGGCTGCTCTCACAGCCAAACATCTGCTCACCCAAACAGCATTCCAGGCGTGTGTTACACCTCCCAGCTTCACAGCAACACACAGGGACAGCAGGGAAGAATGGGGAAACTATTTCTCAGGCATTTACATTTGGTTTTAATAGTCAGGGAGCCTTTTGGATGCATGGGTGGTATCCGCACTTTTGCCCCAGGAAAAAAGGCGGCTTGGGCTCCATGCTGACATCTTCTGGGAGGAGAACACTGCTGGGAAAATGAGGTTTTCCTCTTCTCTTGGACTCTGTTAACACCCTACTTGTCTTAAACTGAAGCTAACAGCTAGAGCGCACAGTACAGAGGAAAGACTTGCGGTAGGGATATGGGAAAAAGTAATCTACAATATATAAGTTCCCTCTCCCCCCTGCTAGCCTTCCCTCAGCTTTTCAGCATCACAACACAGAAGCTAAAATACATTTTAAGGCATGCTCCCCCTGAATCTGCCTCCCAGACTTCCAGCAGCCTTGAAATTGCAATCCCTTGGGGCCACAGAGAGTCCTGCTCCCCCAGTGACTCCTATTTAGTCTTCGGCTGGTTCCCCAGGCTGGCGACTGACTTCTGCTTTTGCCGACTGCTGGCACCATCTGCAGGTCCTGCAAGTGAGGGAAGATGAAGTACCTGGTCAAGTTTCTCAGAATTTCATTTGACTCTCATTGCCAGTCAAAATGGGGAAGAGACAGATTGCCACGGGCTATGGAGAGGAAAGTTTGGCAAAGGCCCTGGGATCTGCACATCGTTGCCTTAAGAAAATCCCAAGGTGACACTTTCCGTGGAAGCAGTATGTTGTCACACGGCTAACTCAGATTAAACTTTGTACTTCACATATGGGTTAGGCTAGGGTTATGAGCACCTCTGAAAATGTTCTTTTCCTAAGAGGTTATTTTTGGCTAAGAGGGAGATGGAGTGTAACTCATTCTGGAACATTGCCCATGTCATCTGTTGCAAAAAAAAAAAAAGTCTTAAAAGTTGGCTGTAAAACCCCTACCCATGTGACAGCTTTCCCAACTGGACCATTTGTGTTGCATTTACAACTCTTTATGTTCAGATTGCAACAGAGCAAGTGCTGAAGAATACAGTAGTGCCTCCTGAGCCAGCCAACCTGATATTTTATGTACTCACCCTTGACTTGCTTCTGTAGGACCCGTCCTTTGACATGATCAGCGTTGCTCTGCTGGATGGTGCTTGCAGGAGCATTGTCTTTTGGCAGCATCTCTAGTGGAGTCCCCTCTATCAAAGGCAGGGAGAGCTTCATTAAAAACAGTGGGAGCAGAGCACAGTTTAAAAACATTTTGCAATGCATGAGTTGCTAATAGCTAGCCAAAATAAATTATAGCTTCGTAAATCAAAAGTTAACCATTGTTTAGTAACAAAAAAAGGTAAGAAAAACTAACTAGCATCAGTAAGCACCTCTTGCCAGAATGGGGAAGGATTCTGGCTACATTTCAATAGGATTTGGGTTTCCATTTCCCCTAACCTCATCCTGGCTTTGTGTGTCTGCACAAAGAAAAACAACTGAAGCTGACAGATGGTCAGTGCAGCCTGTCATGTCTTGGTCTCCTTGCTGAGGCTTGGTTTGGATGTGAAACTGTCTGAATGACGAGACTGATAAGCAACCTGTTGCATGTGAACCCAGCTGAACACTAATTCCCCCCCTAGATTACAGAGGCATAGTTGAGGCAGTGGTCTGCAAAGGATATGCTTTCTTACCCATCAAAAGCTACTTAGACCATATAAAAAAAAATGAAGATCAGATTACTAATAGTTCTGATCATTAGCCTTTACTCTGGCTTATTTCTCACATGACAATCCATCTTTTCCAACAGAGCTGATGCAGGATGTCACCAGTGGCTCTTTGGCCCCTACCTGAATGGTGGCTGATAGGAACCTTGACCTTTGCAGCAATGGATATGCTACTTGCAGCTTTTGACTGATGGAAGAGTCTAGCTCGGCACAGGTGGTTCTCACAAGCTTTGTCTGTATTGGGGCTTGAAGGAGTCCGATGCTTAGCTTTTGAGGTCTGAAAGACACCAAGTTGAGTTAACTTCAGTGGTGATGTCTCTCACCTCTGTTGCCACGTTGTACCAAAAAGATTCCGTTCACACCTGACTTTGGCTTAGCTTGCTGTTTAGGCAGGAGGTCAAGGACATTATAGAAGAATAAAGATATTTAACTTATTTCCTCAAGCAACTTGTGTCACAACCCAACCAGCACGCTACCTTGGGTAGTGTAGGAGGTCACAGGAAGCTCGAAATCCCTCGGAGAAATGACGCCAAACAACCAATCAAATTGTTTATTGAGCACAAACATAAACAAAACTGAAACAATCGTGTGATAACTCAAGACATTGCTGTCTGCCTAGCAAGTCACAAAACTGAAGGGAAAGAGGAGGGGAGAATTTTACCCAATTTTACCGAAATGATTCAACATGAACCTTGAACTCTATGGATGAACTATTCAGATGACTAACAACATCAAACTATATACACAAGTGAGGTAAATGCGGCGAGAAAGAGCAAGATGAGGTGCTGGCCGCAAAGAGAAAAGGAAGAGCAAGGTAGAAGAGAGACAGAGACAGAAGGTATCACCACCCTAGGATCCAGCGATGTCCCGTTGGTCCTGTTGATTGCTGGTGTCCTGGTGATGGGGGCATCTCCCACCCTTGTTGGTGTCTTGATGGTGAGGGTCTCCACGCTTCTCAGCTGGATGGTGGGGGTCTCCCTTGTCATGGTTTACCCCCAGCCAGCAACTAAGCACCACGCAGCCGCTCACTCACTGCCCCCCCCCCAGTGGGATGGGGGAGAAAATTGGGGAAAGAAGTAAAACTCGTGGGTTGAGATATGAACAGTTTAATAGAACAGAAAAGAAGAAACTAATAGTGATAATGATAACACTAATAAAGTGACAACAGCAATAATAAAAGGACTGGAATGTACAAATGATGCACAGTGCAATTGCTCACCACCCACCGATCGACACCCAGCTAGTCCCCGAGCAGCGATCCCCTGCCCCCACTCCCCCCAGTTTCTATACCAGATGTGGCATCACACGGTATGGAATACCCCGTTGGCCACTTTGGGTCAGCTGCCCTGGGTCTGTCCTGTGCCAACTTCTTGTGCCCCTCCAGCTTTCTTGCTGGCTGGGCATGAGAAGCTGAAAAATCATTGACTTTAGTCTAAACACTACTTAGCAACAACTGAAAACATCAGCGTTATCAACATTCTTCGCATACTGAACTCAAAACATAGCACTGTACCAGCTACTAGGAAGACAATTAACTCTATCCCAGCTGAAACCAGGACACCCTGCAAGTCGGCCTGGTGGTGGAGGTCTCCAGTCCAACGCGCATGTCTCCGCGACTACCCGCTGAACCTTTGTTGCGCCTGTGCTGTCGAGATTGTGAGAGATTGCGCCAGGCTGTGGGCATTGTCGTTGGGGTACAGGTAGCCTGCAGGGCTCTGCTCTGTCCTTGTGGTTTCCTTCATGCCAAGAAATGTTTATACAGTCTCGTGGTTTCCTCGGTACCAAGAAATGCTTAAGACAAATGTCTGACATCTGTCCCTTACAGCTTGTACTATGTTTCTCTTACCGTACTTAAAAATCACCCTAGCTCCACTGGGAGACTTCTGCTCAACCCATTCCCGTTAGAAACACAAAGGACTTACCCTGTGGAAGTTTGGTTCAAGAGAGAGATATCTTTTCTTTCTGGCTGTCCTCTCAGCAGACACCTCCTGGTCTTTCCTGTTCTTCAGCACTCCCCTGGCTGGGGAGCACAGCAAACTCCCGATACTTGCACTGCCTCTCGTCTGACAATCTGGGATGGAATTGGCCTCTAGATACTTCAGCTCAGGCATATCCTCCTCAGAGGAGTGGGCTGAGGAGACTTCACTCCCAAGGTCTCTGTGTTGGGGTCTGGAACGGCAACTGGCTGCAATGAGGGAGATGCTTTTGGTGTTGGCAGCAATTTCCTTCAAGGTCTCCAGCCTCAGTGGAACAGCAGCGATGTCTGCAGGTGACTTTTTCCCATGCAAGTCTAGAGAGGTGGGGGAACGCAGTCTGGGAGTCATCTTTCCTGCAGCAACGCCTGTTGGTTTCTGCTAAAAATCAAAGCAATTGCAACATAATCTGCTTTTCATTCAAAGCTTTTATACTTTTCCCCTTCAAAGCATTTTCAAACATTTGGAAGACACTAAATTTCAGCTGAAATGCTGTTATAACAACTTCTATGTATAGAGAAACAAAGGCAAAGCTTTTTGACTGTGTATGTCCCGTATAGAGCCGTGGCTACAAAATAAGTCAGTTGGCGAGCAAGAAACTGATGAGCTCCTAACTCTCCCTCCTGTTCCAGGGTGCTGAGTGAAATCAGTTTCACCAGGTAGTCATCAAATCAGGGCCCAGCAGATGAATTAATGGTATAAAAGGAGGCGATCATCCTGGACAACACAGGTCCCCTCACACCAGATTGCATGCTGCATCTCTATTTACAACTCCCGTCGCTCCAGTGGACACACTGGAGACTGGGTGATTCACAGGAGGGAGAGCCTGAATTGGAGGTGGCAGCTAAGCCTTGGCCTCATAAGTAAATCCCAGGCTTTAAACCCAAGGCCAGTGCTCTAGGAGTGATTTTATTGCCTGCCAAGGTTTACCTTCCTCACATACAGTAGATTTAGCTGCTGTGCATGTCCTGTCATCACAAGAGGAAGGTGCTATCCATGATAAATGTGCCTTGACTGCAGTTTCTACCATACTGACCTGCTGAACTGGTCTTTTTTGCAAACTAGAGAAAGTTGGGCTGAGATGGGTATCCAGCGAACTCTCCTTCCTACAGAGTGTCATTTCAGATGATCTGCAGCTGCCGCTGTGAAAAGAATATTCCAGGAGGTTAATAGATGAAAGCACAGGCCCTTTATCAACAGAGAGAGATGAAACAGCTCTAGATGAGAGCTCTCAAGCTGCGGGGAAAGCCAGAAGCCTGGTAAACCTGGTAATAAAGAACACAGCAAGGAAAGATTTCAGGATTCATGAAGGAGAGAGATTTTGTCCCCTGATCCTCACAAACTTGGCTACTTTATTTGGTTTTAATGCTTGGCAGTCAGCAGAAGCAGATCCAAGCATATCCCATAGCCCTCTCTGCAGAGAAGGTTCCTGCTAAAATACAGAGCTACTTTGCAAGAGCAGTATACCAGGAAACTCTTTTCTAACAGATTGCAGTTTCTAGAGGTCCTTCCAGTTTGATATCTCCCAGCTTTGGGGACTTAGCTGGGAACTGCTAGGTCCCCATGCCCTAGAGAATAAGTCTAATAATGAGAAAGATTCACATTACCTGTCTGACTCAAGGATGATGGAGGGAATATCCTTCATGTTCCCAGTTAGACCCCTTCTGGTCTCATCTTTATTAGGATCTAGATGCTGACTTACATCCAGAGAAGGGCTGTTGTGGGGCTGCAGGAAGAGGGAAGAATGAGATCCTCAGAAGGTTTTTCTCACTGTAAAGTCCCTCCTCTAGCCCTAGCTCCCAGTCTGCGGTCACAAAGACACTCTTGGAACCTCACGTGGTTTTCTGTAGTTCCAGCCACCTGCTATTTGCTCCCCTCCTGTGGAAGGGCACCCAGAGCAGTTTAATCTCTCATATAACAACATGACTAGCATTAAAGTTTATTATTCAAAGTGAAACCCAATGCCTTGCCCCGTTCATTTTAGGCAATCATAATAAACAGGAGACGCTGCTGCTTGGACTCCCTGCTGAAGACTGGCAATTTCCTGGCAGCCCCTTACTGTCTCAAAACACACACAAGTTTTTCAAAGACAGAGGGGCCAGCAGCATCTTTCCTTTCTTGCAGGAAAGACCCGAGGACCTCAATAACAACTGTGCCATGAGCTAACAGAGGCCTCCAGATAAGATAGTCTCCTTCAGCAGTCACTTCGAGAGTTGCATGTTTGGCCATCTAACCTTTGCTTTTCTGTTTGCCACAAAGCCAGTTATCTCTCTCAAATCTGACACAACAGCAACTGGGAAGATGAACACGCTGACTCATGCACAACACTGCCCGGGTCCTTTTCTGTCACTAAAAGCCTTATTAATTCTCTGAATCAAAGGGAAGGAGGGAAGGAGAGTGGAACTCCAGAGACAACATGTTCATAAAACAAAGCTCTGTACAGCTCCTGACTGGCACCAGGACCCAGCCAGGCTTTGGGGGTGTGTGAATCTATGGCCATAACACGAAATCATGGGACAGTGTGGATTCCCCAGCACAAGGGTCTGCTCTGCCTTACCCTGAGCATGCTGGACATCACTGAATGTAGAAGAGGCAGGTGGTTCAGCGTCCTCTCCTCCAACTCAGAGAGATGCAAGTGGTGTAACCTCGCCAGTGTCTCTGGGACAGGAATGTTCTGGGCTGGAGCAGAGATGGGGAGGAAGGGTTCTAGAGAAACAGCTGAGAACTGTGGTGTCATGACACCCAAGACAAGGATTTTCTGGGTGGATTGTTCTCCATTTGCCATCAGAAAACAAAGCTTGGAGATAATGACAGAGCAGGAGCAAAGGTGCTGCTTTACCTTTTATCAGCATCTGCTGCCGCTGAATAATTTCTTCGCAGAGTAGCACGTGCTGCTGCAGTTGCTGGATCACAAAATCCTTCCGGCACAATAGATTCTCCTTGTACAGTGTATTTGCCTGCAGCTCTGTGTTGCCAAGCTCAAGCTCATGGGCTCTGCAGAGGAGCCTTAGTATGTCCTGCTGATCTTCACTGGTGATTTGTCTGGGGAAAATCTCTGTTTGGGAAGCTTTTTCCTCGGCATTTGCTAACTGCTGCTCCAGCTCTGTCTGAAAAAGATAGATAGGGGTTTTTCAAGGCAGCTTAGCTTCTTGGGATAACAAAAGCATCTGAGCAATTCTCTGCTGTGTCCTTCATGCTGAGATTAAAGTAACATCTATAAAAAGTATTTTTCTTATTCTACTAGCAGCCACCGTGTTTCAGTCATGGCAGATATATCCAGATGCACACTCTTTGCCTAGAGGAACTCACAAACGTTAATGTTAGCTACCAAAAAAAAAAAATCACCAAAAGCGATTACCAAAACATTGAAGAACTGTGAGTGACAAACCCTCAAAATGTCCCCGAAAGGGGAAATGGGAAGAATTAGCTCACTTATGGGTGCACAAGCCCAGTGGGTGCTTTCGCCTCATCCTAAAAAGCACAGGGACAGAGGCAGGATACAAACATCAGTGTTCCCATGCTTCTTCCTTCAGCAGCCCAAAGTATTTAGGAGTCCAGGTGCAATGCAGGTGCCAGACCGCTTTTGTGGTGCTAGGCCAAAACCACAGGAACCTCTCTGGCCCCCCAGCACCCACCGGGCAGAGGTCAGACTTGCGACCATAAGGGCACCTTCACCTCCTCACCGTCTTGTGCTGTTCTGCCAGCAGCGGGTTGATCTCTTCTCTTGCTACCGTAACTTCATGAGGTTCAGGTGAATCTATGATATCTGCTTCCCTGTCTTTCTCCTCTGTGTTTTCATCTTTCTCCTCCATTGCTGGCTTGTCATACTTGGATGCACCCTGAGCCTTCTCTCGTTCCCAGCTGCCAGCAAAAAAAGAAAGGAAATTCTGGGGCCTGGTGACATAACTCTAATGATGCACGCATAGTCCTTCATTGTGTCTGCCCAACTTCTTGCATGGCAGCAGCGGAGCTAATTAGTCCAAGCTGCTCTGGAGCTGGACAAACCATGCGCAAGAGCGCAATTAGCTTCCTCCTACTTGGAAATTCATAAGACAGGCCTCCTATGTGATCTTTCCATGGCAAGGAGAACAGTGCTTTTCCCCATTCTCATAACAAGTTGTTACCAATTCACAGATACTTGTTGAAGACCTTTAATGTCCTGAAGACTGTTTTAACTACAAATGACCCAAATCCTAAGGGACTATAAAATTTACAGAGGCATTAAGTGGGTGACTAGTGATAATGAGAGGGAACTGACACCTGCTTATAGTTTATCCAGAAGAAAGGGATGATGCTGCTTTCTCTGACATGAAATTATGCCCAGATGCAGCGCATCTGGGTGGAAAACACTTCACAAACACAGGGTAACTGGAACATGGAAGGACCGACAACCCCAATCTGCACTGCCATCCAGTTTTTCCATTAAAATGCAAGTCCAGAATAAGGTCCAAATAGAGGTGAGGTATCTACCAGTTATACTTTTAGTCTTGAGCTTACACTTTATGACAGAGGTAGCTGGTTGCCTTACAGAGCTACATCAGGCAATTGCACTGCAGTGCAGCACTGTGTGCAGGCTGCAGTCTCCTTACAAGCACCAGGAGGGATTAGGGATGTGTTTCTCAATAGCAGAAATCACCCGTTGCAAATATAGCACCTTAATCTAAGGCTCAGAGTTGCATGGACTTAATCTACCTTAAATCCCTGGGTACCTTTTGTAGACCACCACCCTCCCAACTTTTTTCCTTGTTTCATATGTAAATCTCAAACCTACACTTGATCTTTCTGCTCGAACAATTAAATACTCTCTTTAACATCCCTTTGTCATTTTTGTTGGGGGGACCATGGGATATTAGCATTTCTCCTGGTGAGTTTGGAGGTCCACATATAAGTTGTGGTCAAAGCTAAGGAGCTACTCACTCTGTGATTGTTAGGAGGTGCCTGCAGGTATCGACGCAGAGCTCGATGTTGGTGTTTTCTGGCTCCATCGGGCTGTGATGCATCTCCATTTGCTCCCTGAAAGCCCCCATCATCAGCTGCGCCCGCAAGGCGTTCATTACTTGGCCACTGTGTGCCTCAGAGCCTTGATGCCTTTCTGCTGCAGAAGACATTTCTGATCTGATGTTAGGCCAGGTAAACTGCCAAGCCCCCACAAAACTACTCTGGGACCAAGCCACTCTGTCTGTGTGTTAAAAGGCATTCGTTTATAGGACTCTGCTTCATTCTGCAGTCTCTTGAAGTTAATCATGTGCTTAAGGAATCTGATATATATTTATGATTGTATTATTAGCAATAAATAGGTCTCATTGCTACTGCTTTCGTGAGTATTAAGAGGATACTGCATTGCAGGGATATCTCTTCCCCCATTCCACCCGCAAAAAAAGAAAAAAATACAGGTTTTCTGTGCTTGTTACCTAGAAATGACCTTGAGTAGTGGTAGCAGAGACCTATTATACTTCACGTCTTGTCTGTCAGAGAACTTGACTATTTTTTTTTTCATTCCTTGCCAGATTCACTGACAAAAGGAACAATCCCCAGGGCGGAACAATCCCCAAGGCAGAACAATCAATGTTTTAAAAGCTTCACCCTGCCCCCTCCCTATTTTTTTTTTTTTTTAATTAAGTGCAACAAACCATACAACAGAGCTTGGTATCCTGACACAGCCTCAGAGCCCGTGATGATGCAGACTACAAACTCAGCCACATCTCTGTGAGAGTCGGGACTTCCCACAGCAAATGCCACCACTTGATGTCAAAGCTCTTTTCAAGGGCAAGTTAGTGAAATTTAACACATTTTAATGTTGGGGAAGATGCTGAGAAGGTTGAATATGTTGTCCAGAGTCACACAGTGCATCAGAGACAGGCTCACAGAGAAAAACATCTTCAGCTCCCCTGCCTGCCTACACTGCCCATCAGACTGTGTTCTCCGCTGTGCTTCTCTACAAGCATTGCTGAACCAGCTTCCCCCAGCTACATCTGCATGGAGGCCCACCAAGCTCTACCACAACCTGTCCACACAGCTCCTCTCCCCGCTCTCTTCCCTCCAGATACCCCAGAACAGTTCTTGCTCCTGGCTCTACCTTGCAGATCCCTGAGGTCGGAGCTGACTGCACTTTTCTCCTCCTGGTTTTTGACCCTTGCCTTCAGATGCTCGATCTCCCTGCAGAGGTCCGTGATGATGCTGGTGTATTGGTCGATGTGGTAGGAGACATTCCGCAGGTTACATTTTACCTGGTGAGCCAGAATACGTGAGCATTTGTCCCGTAGTCCATTATTGGTACAATGGCTGCAAACAAAGCTGTGCTTTCAGTTGGAGGGGCACTGACTCCTGTCACGGGGAAGAATTTCCCCTCATGAGTGGGGAAACTGTAAATTAGTGGTTTTCCCTAATTCTTGGAAATTCCCGAAAGGTACCAGGGAAAAGCCAGGGACCCTGTGTCCACAGGGAAAACACAGAGATCCATAAAGAGCAAAAACCCTGTTGAGGATCATTGTTTGTCTTCCTTCACCCCACAAGCCTCTCCATTTTATTCCTCCTTTCTGCAGCCCCTTAGTTCCTCTTCCAGGCCCAGCATCCCCACTGGGACATTCCCCATACGTTGTCCTCCCAACAGCCATCTTCTGGCCATCATTCCTTATGTTCTGCACCCAGGTCAATACCAGGCACATCATCCTCTGCCTTTCCATTATTCTGCTCCCTTGTTTTGACCCTCATATTCCTCTTCTCATCCACAACCCACACAATTTGCTTTCCACTGTTCCCTTCATCTGCTTTTCTTCTCTTCTATCACTCACAGTAAGCTTCTATACCATCCTGCACTGCCTCCTCCTGATTTTTGTTCTCCCTTCATCCACTACATCTTATATTTCCACTTTGCAAGCTTTTAATCTCTAACCCCCGCCTCCTTGTGAGTTGTTTGCTCCTTTACCTGTGTCTTGATGTTTTTTGCTCGACAGGCATAGATCAAGGTCATTTGAGATTCTTCAGAGGAGGTACTGGCTGGGCTGATATGTGCAATCATATCTGCTGTTCCCTCCTAATGAGTCCTAGAGGGATGCAACGTTGATGTGGTTAGTATGGACACGACAGGAGCTTGCTGCTCAGTGGTAACCACTGTGGCTGGGTACCCCTGCGGTTCATTGAGATGCTGGTGGAGAATCCCAATTAGGAGTGAAGGAAGTGCTGGTAAAAGACCATTTATTAGGCCCTCTCTCCATCAACAGCAAAATCAATAAGTAATTAATCTGTCATGCAGCAGCAGTGGTAGCTCAGAACCAAGGCTTGAGGTGAGGTTCATAAACGATGTTGTAAAGTGTCCGTAAAATAACCAGTGTAGCAAAGACCTTGTCTGCAACCTGATTTCCTAAGGGAGAGACAACTTATGACAGCACGTAGTCACTCTCAGTCTTTCTTCCTCCTACCCCAACAATATTCACATTTATTGGCCAATTTCAGCCAAATCTTATGGAAGGGATGAAACATTTAAAGGCATTAGGTTAATTAAAAAAATCACTGGTCACCTGTGAGCTTAGAGACATACAACCCAAATCTACAGGATTTCATTAACCCTGTAGGCGCTCCTTCCTTGACAGTGCAATGACAAGACAACATGTTTATTATAGAGAGAGCACTGTCTGAGTCAAACCCTGATTACATTGCAAAGCTCATACAAGATCCTGGAGGAGCATTCCAAGCTGGATAAAGACAATGAACAGATATATTCAAGAATCAGCTCTCAAGCCCTGTCTGGTTTGAACAGCGATTCCAACAACAGACACGCCAAGCTCCTTGCTGACCTGCAGCGTAGGGTACCTTCAGCAGACGTGTGAGTTTACTGTCTCAAAAATTGACAAACTGGGCCCGGCTCCCTCCCTTCTCACTCAAAGCATTGATGCAGTTGCCCAGAGCCAGCAGCGAGCGGTTGATGTGGGCTCCTTCCTTCATCCTCTTGCCCTGGTTCTGAGTCTGTTGGGAGGGCAGGGAGGGACGGGGGACAGACAGACAAAGCACATGCTTCAGAATGGTGATTCTGCGCCTGGGGAAGATGTGAGGCATCACTGGGGTCAAGGTTTGCATGTCCAAACAATGCCTCCTGGAAAACCAACCTGAGAGTGGAGGGTTAAACCCCACTCCGAGGCACAGAGGTGCTGGTAGGAGTACATTTCTTGGAAAAGATGACCCAGCTCTGACCTTTTGGTTCTTAAAAGATAGCTATTGTCTTCTAAAGATTATTTCAGAAATTAAGATGCCTAACTACATCACTGCAGAATTCTTGGTCTCAGTAGAAATACTGAGTATGTAAAATCTCTCTCCCTCAAATCACCTCCCTGAATTCCAGCGTTTCCTCCTTCCCATAGGAGCCAGCTGCCTTATTTTCCACCCACCAGCATCCCTCTGTTCCACTGGTACCAGCTTTCTCTCTGACAGCCCAGGTGATCCCTGCCTAACAGATCTCATCTTCTCTTCAGACATGAAATTCACTGCTGCTTTTTCAGACCTGACAAAAAAGACTGCACCCAAAAACTGGTTTACTTTTTTCCAATTATACTAGTTGGTCTAATAAAAGATATTACCAATATCATCAAACTTTATTTTCAGGCTGTCTTGGGTACAAACTACCCAAGTGCTGGTTTCCCCAGGGATGAGGACAGGCATGCAGACCCTGCACGGCAGGCCAGGGAATCCAGCCTGGTCTCACCAAAAGCTGCCAAGCTCCCACCATACCTGGGCTGCTCTCTCCGACCCCGCCAAGTCGACCATGAAAAGCTTTCCAATTCGCGCTTCCTCACTGATCGTCTTCCTTCGGCTTTTCTGCGTCACTGTCACCTGCAGCACTGCATGCGAGCGGGAGGACACCTTGTTGGCAGCAGTGGGTTCCTGGGCGCGTTGATTGTTTCCTTTCGTTAACAATTGCGTGATCTAAACGATGCAGGAAAGCATGCAGAGATGTACAGCTCTGCATAAGCCATAGCATGGTGTTCCCCGCAGACTGGACCCCTCACCCAGGGCACAGGCAAACTCTGGTCCTGCTCATGCTAGCAGCGGTTTTGCTGTTGATTTTCCCCAGAACTCCCCCTTTCCTTGTGACCTTGGAATTGCAGGTTTGTTGGGTTTGGGGCTGTTTTCCTGGGAGGCCTGTTTATCTCATGTCCAGGGCACATATAGAAGTACACATCAGTGTGGCTCAAGGGGGTTTCGTTATTTCTTCTCCCTCTTCAAATGGTTTGTTGACGTGTGTATGCAAATCAAAGCATTCTTATCCTTCCAGGAAAGCAGCATGCACCCTGGGGAAGCAGAGCTAGCAGGAGGTTAGCTGGGGATTTTAGCCTGATTTCTACCACTCACATGGCTCCACGATCAGCCCTTTCCATACAATTTGTCACATTAATCCAGTTCCACCAAGGTCCTGCTACAAAAGGTCCTTGCTACTGAGTAAGGCACAGGCAATAGGGAAGTGTCAAGAAATTTTAAAGCAGTGATGCATGAGAGCATAAACCCCCTCCCGTTCCCCTCACTGTGGGCCATAGCCCAAGGTACCTCCTGAGCATTTGTAGTGGAGACTTCTGTAATTCCTACTATATGGATGCTGCCTCTGGGGTCCTCTCTCACATCTAAGAACCCTGAGGATGGTTTCAGGAGGTCACGGATCACTTCATTATAGATCTGAGGGTAAGAAATGAGGGGTTGGTGTGAGACTAGCATTGGGTCCTTAGATCTGCAAAGAGGGTTGTGTTGATCCTACATTTCAATGGACAGACTTGGACTCCCCATTTCCCATTACACCTGCTCCACAGAGGCTGGATCCCAGGCAACACAGACGCTTCACCTCCAGGTAGGACACGGAGATTGTGTAATCCATCTCCTCAGTGGCAGCTTCAAGGGCCTTAAAGAGGTCATCAAGAGTGCGGATGTAAATCCTCGGTTCACAGTCTGTCCCTAGCATCGTGTAGGTTTTTCCTGCTCCTGTTAAAGAATCATAGAATAGAATCATAGAATGGTTTGGGTTGTAAGGGACCTTAAAGATCATCTAGTTCCAACCCCCCAGCCCTGGGCAGGGACACCTTCCACCAGACCAGGTTGCTCAAAGCCCCATCCAACCTGGCCTTGAACACTGCCAGGGATGGGGCAGCCACAACTTCTCTGGGAAACCTGTTCCAGGGCCTCACCACCCTCACAGTAAAGAACTTCTTCCTTACATCTAATCTAAATCTACCCTCTTTCAGCTTAAAACCATTATCCCTCATCCTATCACTACATGCCCTTGTTAAAGAGTCCCTCCCCATCTTTCCTGTAGGCCCCTTTAAGTACTAGAAGGCCACTATTAGGTCTCCCTGGAGCCTTCCCTTCTCCAGGCTGAACAACCCAGCTCTAAGCCTGTCCTCATAGGGGAGGTTCTCCAGCCCTCTGATCATCTTCGTGGCCCTCCTCTGGACCCGCTCCAACAGGTCCATGTCCTTCTTATTTTGGGGGCCCCAGAGCTGAGCCCAGTACTCCAGGTGGGGTCTCACAAGAGCAGAGCAGAGGGGGAGAATCCCCTCCCTCGACCTGCTGGTCACGCTGCTATTGATGCAGCCCAGGATACGGTTGGCTTTCTGGGCTGCGAGCGCACATTGCTGGCTCATATGCAGTTTTTCATCCACTAATACCCCCAAGTCCTTCTCCTCAGGGCTGCTCTCAGTCCACTCATCACCCAGCCTGTATTCGTGCTTGGGATTGCCCTGACTCATGTGCAGGACCTTGCACTTGGCCTTGTTGAACTTCATGAGGTTCGCACAGGCCCACCTCTCAAGCCATCAAGGTCCCTCTGGACGGCATCCCTTCCCTCCAGCGCGTCGACCGCACCACACAGCTTGGTGTCATCGGCAAACTTGCTGAGGGCGCACTCAATCCCACCGTCCCTGTCACCGACAAAGATGTTAAACAGCACCAGTCCCAATACCGATCCCTGAGGAACGCCACTCATCACTGGACTCCATTTGGATATCGAGCCGTTGACTGCAACTCTTTGAGTGTGACCATCCAGCCAATTCCTTATCTACTAAGTGGTCCATCCATCAAATCCACGCCTCTCCAATTTAGAGACAAAGATGTTGTGTGGGACAGCATCAAATGCTTTGCACAAGTCCAGGTAGATGACAGCTGTTGCTCTTCCCTTATCCACCAATACTGTAACCCCTTCGTAGAAGGCCACCAAATTTGTCAGGCAAGATTTTCCCTTAGTGAGGCCATGTTGGCTGCCACCAATCACCTCCTTATTTTCCGTGTGCCCTAGCATAGTTCCCAGGAGGATCTGCTCCATGATCTTGCCGGGCACAGAGGTGAGCCTGGCTGGCCTGTAGTTCCCCAGGTCTTCCTTTTTTCGCTTTTTAAAAATGGGGGTTATGTTTCCCCTTTTACAGTCAGTGGGAACTTCCCCAGACTGCCACAACTTCTCAAATATGACGGATAGTGGCTTAGCCACTTCATCTACCAGTTCCCTTGACCCATGGATGCATCTCATCAGGTCCCATGGACTTGTGCACTTTCAGGTTCCTTAGATGGTCTCGAACCTGATCTTCTCCTACAGCGGGTGGTTCTTCATTCTCGCAGTCCCTGCCTTTGCCTTCTGCGACTTGGGCGGCGTGGCTGGAGCACTTGCTGGTGAAGACCAAGGCAAAAAAGTCATTAAGTACTTCAGCCTTCTCCATGTCCTGCGTAACCAGGTCTCCTGTTTCCTTCTGGAGAGGGCCCACATTTTCCCTAGTCTTCCTTTCATCACTGACATACCTATAGAAGCTTTTCTTGTTGCCTTTGACCTCCCTGGCCCAATTTAATTCTGTCAGGGCTTTGGCTTTCCTAACCTGATCCCTGGCTGCTCGGACAATTTCTGTATTCCTCCCAGGCTACCTGTCCTTGCTTCCACCCTCTGTAGGCTTCCTTTTTGTGTTTGAGTTTGTCCAGGAGCTCCTTGTTAATCCACGCAAGCCTCCTGGTGTTTTTGCCTGACTTCCTCTTTACTGGGATGCATCGCTCGTGAGCTTGGAGGAGATGATCCTTGAAAATTAACCAGCTGTCTTGGGCCCTTCTTCCCTCCCCTCCAGGGCTGTATCCCATGGTATTCTACCAAGCAGATCCCTGAAGAGGCCAAAGTCTGTTCTCCTGAAGTCCAAGGTAGCGAGCTTGCTGTGCACCTTCCTCACTGCCCTAAGGATCTTGAACTCCACTGTTCCATGGTCACTGCAGCCAAGGTTGCCCTTGAACTTCATATTCCCCACCAGCTGCTCCTTGTTGGTGAGGACAAGGTCCAGCATAACACCGCTCCTCCTTGGCTCCTCTATCACTTGGAGAAGGAGATTATCATCAATGCATTCTAGGAACCTCCTGGATTGCTTATGCCCTGCTGTGTTGTCCCTCCAACAGATATCAGGGTGGTTGAAGTCCCCCATGAGGACCACAGCTCATGAACGTGAGGCTGCTCCTATCTGTCTATAGAGGGTCTCATCCACTCGCTCTTCCTGGTGAGGTGGCCTGTAGCAGACCCCCACTATAATGTCACCTGTCTCTGCCCTCCCTTTAATCCTGACCCATAAGCTCTCACTTGGCTCCTCATCCATCCCCAGGCAGAGCTCCATGCACTCCAGCTGGTCATTGCCATAGAGGGCAACACACTCTCGTCATCTCCCCTGCCTGCCCTTCCTAAAGAGCCTGTATCCTTCCATTCCAACAACATTCCAAAAGTCAGTCATAGGAGATATCCCACCACATCTCCATAATGCCAATAAGATCACAGCCCTGCAGGCGCGCGCACGTGTCTGACTCTTCTTGTTTATTCCCGTGCTACGTGCATTTGCATAGAGGTATTTGAGTTAGGCCCCCAGTGAAGCAGACTTACAGGCTGGAATTCCTTTGTGCTGCTCTTCAGGTGCTCTCCTGCTAACCTGTGATCCCTCTCCAGGCTCTGGGCATCTGTTGCTGGCACTGGCATCAAACTGGTAGGAGTGGGATGGACTGAGGTTCCCCTGCCCTGGCAACTTTAGTTTAAAGCCCTCTTCACTAGCTTGGTAAGCCTATGACCAAAGATGTTCTTCCTCTTTTCTGACAGATGGACCCCATCAGCCCCCAGTAGACCAGGTTTCTCAAAGCAACTCCCACAGTGCAAGTAGCTGAACCCCTGGCTGTGGCACCAGTCCCGTAACCAGTTGTTGATTCACCAGATTCAACTGGCCCTTTCAAACCCCTTCCCTTTGACTGTGAGGATTGATGAAAAAACTACGTCCCGGTCAAAAGGAAGGGGTTTGAAAGGGTCAGATATAAAAAAGAGCAGCAAAGCCCAGCTTCCACATTGTCGTGGTTTAACCCCAGACAGCAACTAAGTGCCACGCAGCTGCTCACTCACTCCCCTGACTGAGATCAGTCTCCAGCGTTGCACAAATGCCCTCATCTCCTCCTTTTTAATGGGAAGATTTGTCTCTACTGAATTCCACCTCAAGTGACTTCCCAAACAGGGCAGCTTTGCTGTTACTTTAGGATTTAAGGGATATCCACCCTTCCCAATGAAAATGGTATTTTAATGCTTCAGTCTTGTCCTCACAGTAAGCAATTAATTGGCATTATAGTTCATTTCTTGTTTGTACAGCTATATTTTATTCATCTGGAGCAGTACAGCTACAGGGACTACTTTACCTGTTGGACCATATGCAAAAATGGTTGCATTGTAGCCAGAAATGACTCCTCCTATCAGGCTTTTGGTTGTGGATACATATACTTCCTCCTAATTCAGTCAAAAAAGCAAAAATTTTTGGTCAGGCACAACAGCTGTCCAAATAATCTATATGTAATTGCATTCCCCATGATTTTCTCACTGTATTTTACAAATTTCCTGGGCTTTGGAACCATTTGTGAGCCATTTGAATTTTGACATCATCAAAAGGAGCAGAAAAAGCACCGACGTTTATTGAATTTTCTAAAGGCAGGCAAGATGCAGGAGCTTACTAAAATAAATGGCCTTAAATACGATCATTTTCTTTGACTCTGAACATGAAATGCTTTGGCCTCCAAAAATGTCTTAGGTAGCATTCAAGGGTGCTACGCTGAAGTTTCGCGTGGAAGAGAACACAGATAACCGAATTGCTTGCGAGAAGCAAGACTGCAGTCGCGTTGTGGTGATCACAAAATGCAGCTGCTCATGAAATCCTCACACCGCACCTTACGTCTGTCTGCAAAACACGGCTCAGTAAGGGCACTAGAGCTCGCTTCATGAGCCCGTGAAACAAAAGAGGCGCAGGGAAGAAGTGTGTGAGCAGCAGATCATCCAACAGATCCAGAGCAACAATGATCTCATTCACCAGAGACCTCGGGAGACAAAGCTTTTTGTCTCGCTCAGGTGTGCTGCATCTGGGGAGTCCCGATGAGGCAGACTGAATACTGCACGTCTCCCTGCTTTTCTGACAAAAGGAAAACCCTCACAGTCCTCTCGCCTTCCGCACTGTCACCTTTTATCTGTGTGACATGTCGCCTCTGGGATGTGCAGTTCTACTCACCTGCCAAAAACGTTCATGTAAGCAGGGAAAACAATTCTAATGTTAAGCCTTTTGGTTTACAAAAGGGAAGGATGTTACTTGGGTTGCTCTGTGATCAAAAACCATGTCAAACACAAATGTTTTTTCTCGAGATCTGTTAGCTCGCAAGATATCATCTGGATCTTCGCTTGGATCTGTCAGGACCACCCTCTGTTATAAGATAAAGTCAGAAGAACAACCGTTATGTCTGGGTTTGGTTTAACTGCCTCTCGGGATTTCTTACAGCACTGTCACCATCACAGCTCTTCGCCAGAGCAACACTGCACTACAGCTTTGTGTGGAAAACACACTTATATGCACAATGCTGAGGCCGACAAGGTTTGTTTCGTAACTGACACTGCAACTTCTGTAATTTGGAGAACTAGCAGCTGCTGCAAAGCGCTTTGAAGGTCCTTTGTGCAGTAAAACAGTTGCTGGCGTTGGGTAATAGCGGTGGTTGCACCCAACCAGCCCCCGTGCAAGCAGGAGGACGACAGGACCTCTTAACAGAGGTTCAAACAGAGGAGCTATGAAAGGAAACAGTTAAGTTCCTTGGGAGCAAAAGTGCCCAAAGTCATCTTCCAAAGCCTTTCCTGCAGAAGGACTAATAGAAATATCTTCATTGCTCAAGGACAGAAATTTAATTCCATTTCTGGCTTTTATCAAGGAAAAAAACAAAGGTGGGAGAGGAGTTGCAGCAGGTTACAGAACTGGTTCTGTTTCTTTTCAGTCCCTTAGGATCTATTTTAGTACATAATTATCACAGTATATAATTACTGTGGAGAATGGTATTCTTTCTCCTCTACTGAAAGGACTCATAAGGAGACGCTCAAGCCTCAAGGGAAGGGACAGAGAACCCTGTGCCTCCTACTCCAGAGCAGTTTTCACTCTCTCTCAGGTAAACAGATCATTAGATAAGCAATTAGAGCATAGATCAACCACCACTTGACCTGCAAACTAACTACATTGGTGTGCCAGGCATGGCAGAGAGACAAGTATCTAGGACAAGTGCCCATGGGCATTCAGGAAATGTCAAGACTTTGTTTTTTCTTTTTCTTTTGCATTTCCTGCTAAATTCCAAGTCTCTAATGAGCATCTCTAGTTTTGATCTGAAAATTTTCAGTTACCAGAATGACTGGTTTTTTTTTTTTTAATTCTTTAGTTTTTACTGGTCCAGCTCATACCTTAAAACCTGAAGCAACACAAGAACAAACTCCGAAGGGAACTCCTGGTTTATCCTCGGCGGCGGCATTTGCCTGTGAAAGATGGGCTGACATGTAATCATGTGCACATGCAAGCGTGACAGCCAAGAAGAGAGCTTGGAGAATGAGGTCAGCATATTTCTTTTAGAAGAAATTTGTTCTGTAACACTTTCAGGCCCCTTTTACTCAGTCCTTGTAACATCCAAGTTTTGCTCACTGTGTATCCACGCATCCAAAAGAGTCCTTATCTTCCAATCTGGGGCTAACACCTTGTCTAACTAGCAGTATTGTAAAAGCATAAATCTTCTGCTATTGCATGGAAGCATTAAAATGTAACAAGACGCTAACAAAATCAATTTTGAGTTAGGATTAATAAGCAGACAGAAGCAGTTCTAAACGAGTTAGGCTGGGAGTAAAAATAGCAGGGAACATGATGTAAATCAAAATACACAGCAAGAAATTTAAGTACTTCAACTGCCCAGTCAATTAATTTGCTTTCATAATTACAGTTATTTGCATTATTAAGAGAAACCCATTCTCATAGATAGAAGTTACTCAGACTAATGTAATGCACGTTTGCTTCCCAGATTTCCATTAGAGAAAATAGATCTCAGGGCAGATGATGCAAGTCTGAATAAGCTGTGTAAGAATAAAGCTGGTATCCTTATGAGGTTACTGGCTGCTTTAAAAAAAGACGGGGCGGGGGGGGGGAAGGATGTTTCACCAGAAAGGTGCTAAACAAAAATTGCATTTGTAAGATAATCTATAAAGAGGAAAGAGAGATTCATGCTTTCCTTGCTTCTGAAGGCTGCTATCATTTGACTATTGCGTGCAGACGAAAGACAAGATATATTACAGAATTAGCATGCATTCAGAAAGGGTTCAGAGAAAGATCAGCTGAAGCAGATAGAAAATAATGGGATTTACATTGAAAAAGAAGCTAAAGAACAAGGGCACAATAAAAATACGTAAATAGATATAGCAATATAGAAAAGGTAAGTGGGGACCTCCTGCAATCCCTGCCTCTTAAAGAGGAGCAAGAGGTGAAAGATGCAGAACTGGAGAAAAGAAGTGCCATTTGCACGGGAAGCTGCAGCCCTGCTGTGTCACAGCAAGGCCAGGAGTTTCGCAGGATTTGAAAGCAAGCGTTTGCATGTGAACCAGAAGAGCCAGAGTCTCATGGTGGTCTGCGTGGTGCCCAGCAGACTCCCAAGTCCCCATCATGGGGGCTCTCCTGCGGCCCAGGCACAATTCCCCCCCCAGCTCACCTGCTCGCCCACTCTGTGGGCAATGAGGGCAGCTCCCTCCTCCGCTTCTGCTTCGTTGAGGGGACGGATCCGAAGGGCCACCTGTACACACAGCACACACACGTGGCTTACGTGTGCCGAGGCCGCTCACACTTACGTGCAACAGGGCTCGGCTCTGCGCAAGCGCCAGCAGCATCTACAGCTTCTCGCTGTCTCTCTTCTGCTGATCGATCTTAAAACCTTAAGCTTAAGGCTTGGAGAGTTTAATGAAGTTTATAAAGTTTAAACCAGTTAATTTTCCCATGATTTGCACTTTTATCTTGACAAATTCTTCCTCCCTCTTACCCTGTTTCTGTCTCTAACACAGCAAGACTCCAACTGATTGACAGAGAAGGCGGCAGAATGAAGCCAGCCGTGTCATTGCTGCTGCCAGCGGGAACCTTTAGAGATCTGGGACCTCGGTACCAACAGCCATAGAGCTTGAGCACGCTTACAGATTCCCCTGGTGTTCCCAAAACACCTATTAAAGTTATCCATGACAAAGAAAGGGAATTGCCTTTCACTAAGTACCCATTTCTTTTAATCCCAGGTAGCAATCATTATGAGCCTGTCCAACCAAATCAGAGCAAGTTGGCCCTGATCTGTGCAGGGCCCGTGGGGTTCCTCAGAAGCTGGAATTCATTGCAGGACTGGAGCGATTATAAAGTAGCAATTAACTGCCCGTGCCCTGTGCCACAACTCAATCAGTCAGAAATGCAGTACTCCATTTTTGAAACAGAAGATAATTTGACTTGAAGATTTTAAACACACAGGCTGTACTCGTCAGTATTAAGAACATACAAGAGCACGTTTATTTCAACCTGTTTGATCTATAGGTGAAGCAATAGAGAGAGTGTGGTGTCATGAGACAGTTATGGGATTAATTAGGCCCCCTGAAGCTGGGGTCCTGCTCTGGTGCTGACTCACTGCAGCTGTGAGCGAGTTGCACAGTCCCAGATCCCAAACCTGTGCACCCAGTGGAGGGTCTCCAGAGAAGACCACCAATTTGAAATCCCACCTAAAAGCTGTCTTTGGTGTCTCAGCTAGTAACAGAGATTTGAAAAATTCTATTTTCACCTTTCCATAGCTGTTTTCCCTTTCATCTAATACAGCAGCATCCCCATAGCAGCTCCTGACAGGAGAGCTGATAAAACACTGCATAATGCACATAAATGATGCCTCATCAGGAAGGTGTGCAATTATTGAAACAGACTTGTTCTACGGCCCCACCAATCACAAGCAACTAGTTTCTATAGGAACCAGATTTATTTCCACAATAACAAGTCAAGCTACCTGTCAATTTAATAAGGGTTTCTCGAACAGCTCCCAGTCTTGAGCACTGTAGCAGACATTTTTGAGTAGTTCCAGCAACAGCAAAGAAACATCTTTTTGCTGTGAATATCTCAGAGTACAAGGTGAGCTCCTTGGCTCTGGATAGCTTTTAATATTCACAAGAATACAACAATTAACTTAGCTTCATCATCTCTCTGAACACTTCTGAGTGACTGTTACAAGCATCTCATTCCCATGGGCTGAATTAATCTTAAAAGCATTTGAAAATACTATCTTGCACACAATAATCCCAAGTCCTACAGGAGGAGTAGGGGATAGCGCAAGCCTCTCTTGGACAGCCTTAACCTCTAGAATAGGCTGATTAATCACCATATTTGGTAGCTCTAGCCATTGAGGGTAAGAAAACAAACCCAAATAAGCAGCATGTGGAGACGGGTCACACCAAGTACTAAGGCTTTTTCTTGCATTACAGAGGAATGCAAGGTATTCTAGATATTATTGACTTTATTTTAAGTGATTCCACTTCGAGCAGAGATTTCTGTGTCTGTCTCTGTTGTGTTTCAGCATCATGTGAGGGCAATGCTTCAGTTTAACAGAGAGCCACAGAGCTGAAGGTTGAAACTTGGGAAAGGATTACATTTTCAAAGCACTCCTGTTGTGGTTTAACCCCAGCCAGCAACTAAGCACCACGCAGCCGCTCACTCACTCCCCCCCCATCCAGTGGGATGGGGGAGAAAATCAGGAAAAGAAGTCAAACTCCTGGGTTGAGATAAGAACAATTTAATAGAACAGAAAAGAAGAAACTAATAATGATAATGATAACACTAATAAAATGACAACAGTAGTAATAAAAGGATTGAAATGTACAAATGATGCGCAGGGCAATTGCTCACCACCCGCCGACCGACACCCAGCCAGTCCCCGAGCGGCGAATCCCTGCCCCCCACTTCCCAGTTCCTAAACTAGATGGGACGTCCCATGGTATGGAATACACTGTTGGCCAGTTTGGGTCAGGTGCCCTGGCTGGGCATGAGAAGCTGAAAAATCCTTGACCCTAGTCTAAACACTACTGAGCAACAACTGAAAACATCAGTGTTATCAACATTCTTCACATACTGAACTCAAAACATAGCACTGTACCAGCTACTAGGAAGACAGTTAATTACATCCCAGCTGAAACCAGGACAATTCCTCTTACTCTGATCAACACACAGAGAGGCCAAGGTCCTGCAGCAACAGTGAGGGCTCCAACAGGACTATAATCCCAGCTGCTTTTAGCCACTTATTAGGAATCTGTCACTCAAACAGATCCCAAAGAGATGGGCACACTGAAAATCACTGTTCAAGGACTAACCACCACCACCTGCCAGGTTATCCAACCTCACCATCCCTACTATACATTTTTCTCCTCTACAGGATACTTATCCCCAACTTCTGCTTTAAATCACACACGGCTTTGCACAAAGAGAGCAAGTCTGGGTTTTTTTCCTCCAGTTGGGCCACAGAGGCCAGGAACACTAGAAGACAGCTGGCAAACACGACAGGAAGGATGTTGGGGCCGGGTACAACCCAGCTGCTCCTCCTCATCCCATGTTCTCCCCTAAGCAAGTGGACTCACCATAAGTTGCTGCTCCTTCACGGCCAAGCTGCAAGATGATGCCAGCTCAGAGCTGGGTGATTTGCCTAGGGAAGCGCACATGGAGTTGGAATCCTTGAAGAGACTGCACAGGCAGGAGATTGCTGCTGCTGCCTCTGAACCATTCAATCTCCCCACAGAAGGAAGAGAGAGGCAACACCTGCACTCCCCCAGGTGGGAGATGACTGCAGGGACAGCAGGAGGAGAGGCAGCAGCAAAATACTGAGCCCCAGGGCTGGAAGGGGCTGCAGCAGCTCCCTGCTACTCCAGGCTGCAGAAAGCAGCGTGCCACCAATGCACTATGCACAGGACACAGTGAAAGGGGTCAGGATAAGCAAAATGACCCACCTGCAAGCCCAAATTAGTTCTTTACATTCAAATCCATCTGCACACACCCTTGGTGAGCAGGCCAGAGTCTTCATTTTCTGCCCTCTAGGATGCCAGACTTCTCCTTCCCCTAGGATTAAACATGCAGCACAAGCAGGTACAGGGGCCCACAGCTCCACCAAAAGCTGAGCAAGAAGCACCCTGGCCCATCCAGTCTTGCACAAGAACTGATGACAGTCATCGAGACAGTCAGGAAACAGTTTGCTACCTCCCTGAACTAAGTGCAAACTTCCATTGTATTGTCACTTCAGGCATAGTGGCATTTCACGACTCCTACATTCAGGAGGGCAATCCTTCAGTATTTTTAGTGTCAGTCCATTCATTACAACAACCTATTAAAACAAAAACCACAACAAGATCACCTTTTGTCTTCATGGTTTATTGACAGTAAACGAGTCAAAGCTCATAAAAGTTACAGTAAAGCTTTATTAAAAAATACTAGAATTTAAGAAGTTAAAACTTAGTATAGCAAGTGAACAAAACTTGCTCTATGAAGTCTGAATTAAGGACTGCAGATGGTTTAAAGGTCATAAGAATGTTTATTTATTACAAATTCAAAATAAAGACTGGAAGTGAAGACTAGCCCAGGATTATATGAATTGTTCCAGTTAATCTTGCTATTTAAGAACAGTCATTAAAAATACTTAAGACAGTACTTTTAACACAATGAGATATACTATCCTACTTAATGCTTAAGGTTTGCTTCCCTCCCTCCCCCTGCTGCCCAAATTCTGGACCCTTGCAGGCATTCAGTGGAGGTACAACTGCTATTGGAAGCTTTTTTCCCCACCCATACATATCTCTATACAGTACCTACAAACCTCTTCTATTTTGACCATCCTTCAGAAGCCCCTAACGGCCACTGACTGAAAACCAGTGGCATAGAGTACTTGAAGACACACACCAACATGGATTCAATCCAACAAGACCCTTCCTCCCTACTACAATTCCTGTTACTCCGAGATATGCCAAACAGACTAGTTCACCAAATACATACCCATGAAGCAATTTCAGGAGCACATAATTTGTAAAAAGCATTTGAAGCAAGGAACACTACAGAAAAGACACAGTAATTGAAAGGAGCACTGTCAGAAATGCCAGCGTAACAGATGAGAAGAGGCCTTAACTGCTGGCCAGGACAACATCTTGTCAGCTTACCAAGCTCCTACAAGGAGCATCAAGGTTTGGGTGGGGTTTTTTTTCCCCCCTCACTGACGATCCACACTTCAGAGAAGCATCTTAGAGAGAACTCAATTCATTTAACATTGGCATTACTTCACTTTGAAAATGGCCAGGAATAAAACACAGTAGCCTATTAAAACTGCATTGCATAGTGACAGGGGAAAAAAACCTTTCCAACTCAATTCATAACTGTGAAAATGGTTGAGAAGTCAGCTCTTTGCAACTAAAGGGTAAATAAAATTATTCCTGCTATACAACTCCAAGCCATCACTGGAGAACTTTGATGTGCTAGAAGTTCTTCTGCATTTTTTTGCCAGAAAGTAAGTATTTTTTTTTTCAGTCCAGTTGAGATATGAGCTTGGTAAGTATTGTGGACAAAACTATCATCTATATATCTGTATATATGGATTATGAATGAACAAATGCAGAAAACTGGAAACTAATACAGACTTCTGAAAAAAAAAAAAACAAAACCCCCACCCACTGGTTTAAGAGTGAACTATTGAAACTAAGTCAATATCATCATTACAGAACAACCATTCTGAAGAGTCTTCCTGGTAAAGAGAACATTGGAGTTAATTGAGGGGTTTGTGCATTTCCTATCACAGCAAGTTCACCTAAGGACAAAGAAAAGCAAGTGCTAAAAACATTACTGGCCCTTGGCTGCCTCCAGCTGAGTGGGGCTACCCTTTGCCCAAAGGGCACTTTCTGCTTTCCACTTCAAATCTGTCAAGACACTGTAAGCAAGTTCAGGGTTTAAAAAGAGTCAAGAGTGCTCACATTAGCAATTTCACTAGCCAGTCCAGGAGAGGAGTCATGAACATCCCCACTCTCCTCTGCCCCTCAAAGGGCAAGCAGCAGGCCAATCTCTCTCACTGCTCTGACAACATCCAGAAAAAATTCTACTCATTAATACAGAGAAGTAACTCCACCAGCTTTAAGTACACTTTTCCCCTCTGAGCACAGAGGGCTTTAGAAATGAAACTAGGTACTGGAACAGGAAACATAAGGCATGTGTATAGAGAGCACTTCTCTGAATGTTTGCAACGTTCACTAATAAGACTTAGACAAATCCAGTAATTCCTGAGGCTAGTATCAATTTGCAAATGTTTTAAGAAATCCACTCATTTTCTAGTCACTCCACTATAGTGAACAGGTCAACTTGCCAGATTAATGAGCCATACCATCACTGTAAAAAACAAAACAACCACAGCACAAAACCAGAAGAGCCATGAGGAACTGAGATTAAAAAAAAAAATCCAAAGGAACGATATAGTCAATATAGCAAACACACACTTATTACTGTGGTATGTTTGACTTGCATCATTCAGGGAAACATTCCCTACAAACAACGCGTAGCCAGCCTGGTTTTAGTATAGGTCTGCTTTTATTTCCATATTCAGCTCTTTGAGGGAGGCATCCTTTCACAATCTGAAAGGAGGAGGATATAGCCCACTGTAGTGCTGCTTCAGCACACTAAAACACATCATACGAAAAATGGTTCTGTTGACTTTTCCCCAAACAAAATGAACACCTGTCCATGCACTCGGGACATAGAAAGAGTCCTGAAACAGAAACATCGTGTAAGACAGAGGTGCACTGATGAATTTCACCTCACCAGCAATAGTCAAAAACTGCCAGTTGGCAAGTACTGTATGGGAGTCAGGAAGTAAATACCGGTAGTAGTGGATTTAAGAAGAAAATAAAAAAAAAAAAAAAGAAGAAAAATTTAAAAGCAGCGCCTTTCCAGTATCTCACTGCAGCAGGCAGCAAGACTTAAAGGCACTACAATGTGTCAGATGGAGAAAATCTGGTGCATCCACCCTTCCAGACTGCAAGAATATGGATTAAAAATTCCAAAGTTGATGTAGGCTTTCTGAAAATGAGCAAACTTCTTTTCAGCACAAGATATGGTGGTGCTGCAGAAAAGGAAAAAAAGAGGCCAGTTAGTTACTGTGCTTTTATACAAACAGCTCAACCTCACCACAGATGCTAGCTAGTGAAAGGCTACATAAGCATGTTTCACCTGTTCTTAAACTGATGTTTGTTTAAATCCATACACTAAGGAGCTTCTCTCCTTCTTCCTTCCATAAAAGGATCTCCCATGTATAGGACACAGATAAGCCATATCCAAATATATTCAAAGGTATCAAGGCTATTAATTTTCTACAGGTTCAAGAGGTATACTGTTCATATTTCACTTGAACTCCTCAGGTATCTGGAGGCTAAAAGAGCTGCAGGGTGACTTACAGCTGCAAGAGGCATACTTCCAGTCTCCCCTTCCTCTTCCTTAAGTGAAGTCCTAAATATGATAGAGCAGGAACACATTCCAGATTTTAAGTCCTATGTGAGTGCCTTCACTATCAAAATATCTTTTCCCTCCTCAATACAACAATGTCAAGCTCCCTAAAAGACATTTCCTACAACAGGGGCTGAAAGTAGCCTCTATTTTCAACATATAAATACGTAATAGGAATTCACAAAAAGGAACTGGGAAAAGCACTGGATTAAAAAAAAGATTTCAACAACAAGCAGTGACAGTCAGTACACAAGAATCTGCTACCACCTGAATTCTACCCAACTTCTCCAGAAAATGATAGCAGAGTTCATGTGGATATTTAAAAACTAAAACTTTTGAGTAGATGTTATCAGTCCACAGTTAACTTGCTGCACAATCTTTAGTACAGTACTTAAACTCTGTCCAGCCTTGAACTAACAGGCAATTCTTTCAAAAGGCAAAATTTCTATCTCATACTAACTACAATTCCTTCTACTGACAGAACTTAGAGAGTCTGCAATACACCGTGTTTGGAAGTTGACCCTGACCCTGTTGTGGGTTTGATTGCTCTGGCAAGACAGGACATACACAGTATTCTGCTCAGTACAACTCATAAATCTGACCATCTGCGATTACTTTAAAAAAACAGGTTTTGTACCATCTAGCCACAAAGAAAACATAAACCAACTCAGAGAACAACACATTCACTCATGCAGACAGATCTAACTTTCTCAAGCAAATTAGTGAAACAATAGCAATAGCTGACAGAAAGTTTCTCTCTACTGAGAGGTATGCCATCTTACCACAGTTTTGTTAATTACTCTGGTTCTGCAAGGGTAATAATTTCTTCATTGATAAAAAATTCAACAGTCTCCTCCTCCCAGTCATCAACATTGCTGTCCAGCTCATCTGTGTCTACCCCTGGAATGGAGAAAACATTAACACTGAATGCATCAAACAAGGCATCAATGGAAAGATTTCTCCTCTTGGCAGAAACTGTCCTTAAACCAGCAGTGAAATAAGAGCTATTTGGTGCTTTAAAACTAAGTAGTACATGCTAAATTCATTAAATGACAACCAAGGCATTTCTGTCTCCCACCACAGGGCTTCTGTGAATTTTTTGGTTAAATGCAACACCCAAATCTCTTCACAGTCTTATCCCAAGGTCAAGCCAATGCTTGCCTTGAAACGTAAAGAGGTGAGGTAAAACACAGATACCAAAATCTGGCACCCAGCAATATTTGGCCTTTCTCCCATAGAAAAAAAAAAAAAAAAATTCCTGTTGCAATTCAGGATAAAAAGTATAAATAACCTTCAGAGAACAAGGGACTAGCTTTGGCAGGAAATGGAGGGAGAGAAGTGGATGAATCCCCAGAACAGTGTAGTTATTTGGTAAGAAGCAGCAGTTATCTAGCAGCAAGTCTTTACAAGTACTATGTGTGGCTTACCTCCTCGAAGCTCTAAACGCTCATTCCTCTGCTCCATGTACAACTCTTGTGCCATCTTGCGGTACTTTCTGAACTCTTCCATCATTGTACGTCTCCTCTCCACTAGCTCCTGTGGAGGCAGGAAGAGGTCGTTACACCTCCCCAATAAATCAAATTCACGTGTGATGTATTTGTTAGCAAATAAAATATTTTTCTCATGAACATAATTCCTACTGACTTAAGAGATCTTTCTTCTTTTGTTTATGTAATCAAAAAGCTGTTTTGTTGATTTTTTTTTTTTAATTTAAAGAGCTTTTCTTAATTTAAAGACTGGCTAATGCAGCAACTCACTACGAACTCCAAAATTTTACCACCTTTACTTAATGAGGTAACACCAGTGCCTCTCCAGATTCATTACTGTTTAACCTGACAGTTTAGTAGCATCTGTCTGAACCACCTACTGGAACTAACTCTAACCATCTGGAGTCAAATGAACACAGATGTTTGTTATAAAAGAAATTTAACTTACATATCACCATTACAAAATAACTAAGGACAGATTACAAGAGTTTTGTCTATATTATTATTATATTCCAAAACTGTCTTGCCTTTGAGGCTTTGGACTGGCTCAGGCGATCCTTCTGCTCAAATATCTTGGAGTATTTCTTCAGGTCCTTCTTAATTTGCTGTAAAACAGGGAATTTTATTTCAACTGGGATATCAGACTAGCAATCACAACCACCATATTCTCTAAGAACTCCTTCGGTAGGCTTAAGCAGGCTATGCATTTTTTAAAAACCTCTCTTCTAGGCAATTTCCCTTTGCTGTAATTCTGTTTGTTCTTCCTGGCTTACAAATCATGTAAATGCTTCTGTACACGTGCAATTAGTGAAGTCTGGAAAGCTAAATTCAATTTTGTTATTCTTTATACCCTTTCACTGTAACCTAACTCTAAGAACAACTAATCATTTTTATTCTGAGCTTAAAGAACAGTTAATATTTACAGTCACTCCCAGAAGCGAGGTCCCCTACAGCAACGTTTTCTCACAAATTCAGGGCAAAAAGCAGTTGCATAACTCTGTAACAGTTCAAGCCTCATCCTCAAGAAGAGGGAGTAAACCAAGTATGCTTATACACCAAATCAATGTCAGCAGAAAGTCAGTGGAATACGCTACCTTTATCTGATCCTCACTGAGCAAGGTAGTTGGTCGTGGTCTCCAGAGAAGCTGACAGAACCTGTCTTTATTGTTTTTCTGAAGCAAACGGCCTTGGAAGGTCCATAACCAATATGCATTGTCCACCTGGAAGAGCAGTGCACCATCTCAGTCAAGATAAGCTACAACTTAACACTATAGTCCTCACTCCATGTCCTAAGGGTCTTTTTTATAAAATCAGCACCATTAGTCAACAGAACCAGGGTGCTCTTTTTGTTAGCATCTTCCTTGCACAAGTCAATTTCCTCAGCAAAGTATTTGTTCCACTGAAGCTCTGCAAGAAATTATCTTCTGGAGTATTACAACAGTTTGAAACTAATCCAGCCTTCCTATCATATTCTTAAGTCTCAGATTCTATACTTGTACAGGAGAGGATTACAGTGCAGTGGCTGGAACCAAGCAAAAGTAATGATAGGTGCAATAAATCCTACTGTTCTGTGTAGACCACAAGGAGATCAAGTTTCAAACCGCTAAAGACGTAATGAAAATTCAGAAAAAGGACACTCAGTTTAGACTTGTGAATTGCCCTTTCAGAACTTATTTTGGACAACCAGTGAAGCTAATGGCCCAAATACATACTGATGTTCAGAAATTAACAGGTAAAACTATGGTGCAGGTTTTAAGTCGTATGATCAGCAACAGGTGTCCATTTTCTCTTCCTAACCAATAGCCCTTTCCAATACCTGTGGAAGAGAGAAGAAAAAAAAAAAAAAAAAAAAAGCACTAGTACCTTGTGGCTCCACCAAGACACAGAAGTCACAATGTATCTGCCTGTAGGATCCCATTCCACATCTGAAGCTGTATAGTGTTCGGCAATATTCATCATGGTGCAGTCAGATGTATCGACAAATGCTAAGGCACCATTCATGCTGCAAAGGCAAGACAAGACAGGTTGTTTTACACACCAGTATAGCCTGTTTCTTTAAAAGCATTTCACAAGCTGCATCTTTACAACTCCTCACTACAAAGATAAATTTTCACAGCAACCAAGAGAGAGGGTCATCCCAGTCTCTGTGGCTAGAAAGCAATGCAATGAATAAAAACAAAAATCCAAGTAAGAATGACACTTTTGTTTCTATGTTCAGTGACCTTTAACCCATTTTATTTCGGTTCTTAAAGGCACAGTGAAAACATACTATAGGCAAGTTACAGCCAAAGTTTAACACTCATATGCTTAGACATATTTAAATAGTGAAGACAACATTAAAGGAAAAAAATATATTTCTAAGATGAACAGCAGCGCTCATCTGAAAGCATGTAAAGGCAAGTACTACTCAACTGGTTAATAAAAATAATTTTCACTTGCTCTAATGTGAAACTTTCCTGATAACTCTTTTACAAAACAGCTTTGTCATTAAGAGGTATGGCCGATGAAGAGACACAAGGATATAACTACAACAAATGCCTTGTAAGAGCCACATGCACAGTTCCAACTGGATTAGTTGAGTCAGTATTTAACTTAAACAGCTGAAAAGTGTTTCTAAATATCCACTTTTCTGTTGAAAAATGCATTCTTCATTTGATGTGGCAAAAATAGCAAGTAAAAGTTACAAAGGACTGAGCTACATCATGGAATTGCATCTCTTCTTTTCCCTTGCTTTTAGATAGCTGTATCAGGATTACACAGTAATGCAACATTCATGGAGATACCAAACACTTCTTGATGAGATACTCTAGTCCTTTTTCCTCCTTAAAATTAATATGGTGTTCAGTAACCCATGCAATGCTCACCTTCTGAGGCCAGCCAATACTACAAATTGCCCTTGAGGACTCCAGAATATCGTGTTTGCCTGCTGTTTGTCAAACGTTTCTGAAAAGAAACAAGACAAATTCAGAAAAAGATCTCAATCCAATGCCATCAGTTAGCTTACAAGCAGTCAACTCCATCCACTCCTCAAAAGACATTTATGAACTCTGCAAGCAAGTCCTGACAACAGCCCTTAGCTCTACACTTCTAAAGACAAAACCCAGTAGTACCAGAACATCCAAAGCTAGCAGAAGGAAGAGAAGGAGATCAGAAGACCCCAAGAGCCAACTTGGGAATAAATTTTATCTGAAGTGAGCCAAGTCTGTGCTATTGCCTCACATGAACTTCCCAAGGCCACAAAATTATTCTGGCTTGTAGGCCTTTTAGTCCCAGACCCTGGACTGATTCAAAGTGAAAACAGTTTAGCTGTCACCAGAAAGTCAGATTTCTAGAACACAGTATCAGGCATAGCACCTATTGCCATACTGTCCACCACAAACAGCCACAGTTTTGAGTTTATTGCATCTATTGCCATGCAAAATGCTTAGTATCTGCACTTTTCACTTGTTTCTCAGTCACTTACTTATGAGTTCTATTTTCCCATTGTTTTTAACATGGTAAAAAGAAACTGAAATTCGTGGAGTTTCTCCATGCAACACAGCAAACTTGCTTCCATTTGGTTCCCAAGCAAAGGCTATGATGCTTTCTGTAACAAAAAACAGAGGGGCCAAAGCTCTGTCAAAAGACAATACAAAGCTTTGATTTCAAGCAGTTACCAAAAGAAAACGAAGACACTGAAGAGAGGCAACCCATCAGTTAACAGACTTTGCCATATAGACTATCTTTCAAAACAGGTTCATAAGGCACATGCAGGGAGTTACGGGAAGTGTTTCAGTCAAACGATAGCTCCTGTCCCCCACCTTCTACAAAATACACTCATATTATCAGCCCTGCCACCTTTATTAAGAACAGATTTTCAGTTCCATCATTTTTCAAGTCAGTCACAAGCATGAATAGCAACACAAGTTTTGATTTCTCATTTTTACATGAGGCACCCTGTGACATGAATACTGTAGCTCCTATGAAAAGGAGTTAACTTCCTAATTACGTCACATGTTGACAGGAAATTTCTAAGAAACATGCAAGTGTCTAGTCAAAAAAGTTAAAGATCAAAAGTATGGAAATACTTGGCATTACCTTTCATTTCCACCACATCCACTGGCACCTGTTTCTCTCTCATTCGGAATATTTCAAAGTTGGTCACTACTCCCTGTAAAGGCCAAGATCAGCTCATTATGCAGCACAGAAGCAGTAGAGCAAATAATTTTATTGCTAGGCATAGAAAGACAACTATACAATTAGCCTGTCAGGATGCAGGATGAGAGAGTCAAGATTTATTTCTTTAATGAGAGCAGATAAATACAGTATGGCTCATTACCAAACACATTCTAAATTTTTCTGTCTGATAAAGAATAACTGAAGAATTGTACAAAAGCATTTGTTTCTTTTCAGACTGTTATGAAGTTTAATTAAGACAGATAAACAGACAGCACATTGCGCAGCATGACCTATGGGCTGTTCAACAGCTCCTTAAGAGGGAGTAGGAAAAGACATGATGCATATAGCTCTCATCCAAGTCTAAGAGGCCACTGAAGTCAAAGCAAAGCTTGGATGCAAACATTACATACATTTTGATCTCCACATGCCTCAAAATTCAAATGGAAAAATGAAAAACAGCTTTGACATCATATAATTTACACTGTCTATATTAAAAGACAGTACGGTAAGAAAACGAGGTGTCAGCGTGAGACAGAACCAAATTTTATGAATATAATCAGAATCCACGTACTTGTGTGCCTTTGGGAGTCCTGTCTACCTTCACACACAGGTAATCCCCGTTCTTCTGCCAGTGTAGTTTACAATCTACGACATTGAACAAATTCCGCACACGAATTTCTTGTCTAGAAGGCAGCTGCATCAAAGTCACTCTTGCTGGGATGTCTTTATCCTCAGGCACCCAGAAAGCAATTATGTTACCACCTGGAGACCATGAGAAGTCTCTACAGGAAGAAAGTTGAAAATATGCCATTTTAATTTTTAGTTAGAGATACTACAAGCAGAAACAATTTTCATCACTGTATCTGAAATGCTGCAGAGAAGTACCAACTCTCACTAATAAAGACAGATACAGACAAGCAACCAAGGACAATTAATAACCTTACACATATCATACCAAACCAGATTTTTAAATTGCTATTTAAACTTGCTATATGACCAGTGTTATCAACACAGTACATTTCACTAAAGAGGAGGGGTTACACCCAGTGTAACCGCCAAAGATATAAGAAACAGGTCGATTAAACCAGTGAGCAAAAAAACCCTATTAAATTACACTGGAGACAATCTTCTTGCACCTGGGTACACTTAATTTTCTTGTTGCTTTACAGAGAGGTACTTCAAAAACTCTCATAGGAGTCAGTGTCTATTGTACAGGCACACACAAAACCAAACCCGTTCCTTGTCAACAGGCAGTATACAGCACACTGTTTTAAGCCAGCATACAAATCTTGTTAGGGAGATATTCCCTAACAAACTGCATTCCACTTTGGTTCTGTTGACAAGGAACAGGACTCCTAAACTAGACCCTGGATTAAGCAGTATCACAAAGAGGATTTCAAAGCATGCAAGCTGTCAGCTGTGGACATCAATAAATGGAGAATTTTCCATTCCTTTTTGCCAGTTTGTCTAATTTGACCACTTCAGCATATGAGGCCATTTGCTCTAGTCAACAGTCTAAAGATTCCTCTCACCATAACAAAGCCCCAGCCATAAGGATTCCAACTAAGAGAGCAGTTATCTTTACAAAGGAATAGACTCACCTTATCCCTGTGATTTTCAAGCTTTTCTTGTCCAACAAACCCATAGACTAAAAGAAGAGAAAGGAGTGAATTTCCAGGTTAGTAACATTCTTATATTTACACATGCACCTTCTACTCTATTAGAGCACATAAACTAGGAAATTGTGTAGAGATCCTGTATCCCTATTTTTCATTATGAACATATGTATACCACAACTGCAAGTAAAATAAAAATTGCCGTACAGAATTAATGAGTACAGCAGCCTGAATTGTAATGAAAAAGCACTAGATTAGGCTGCAATTTATAGTGTGTTTTGGGTACTTTGGAACTCACCTGCTACTGAGAGCTGGGAGGCACCACATAACCTTGATCCTATTGACTCTTATAAGTAGTATATTGAGCTGTCTAGTCCTTCCAGAAGTGTGGTGTGAAATTTACTGTCAAACTCAGCTAAAGTTTTTCACCCAGGAAAGAACAAGACAAGAGCAAACAGATTTCTCCCCTTTTAAGCCCAGCTCTAGAGTGTATTATTAAAATGTAGCCTTTAAAACTTATACCATGGGAAAGACCGACATTGTAATAAATGTTATGCAAAAAAAGGCAAGAACTTACAGGTGTTTCATAGATGCTGAGGGTATCTGAAGTCATTCTAGCAAAGAATTTACCATCATGACTCCATCTAAGCAAATAAAAAGAAAAAAAGAGTATTAGATAGGAACTGCCTTTTTATTAAATGAAGTCTGGGACTACCTCCCTCTACTCTAATTTTGTTTCTCAACCTACTTAAAAATAGGCCAGTGAGCTGAGTTTTCACAGTGGAATCCTCGCTTCTTTTGCCCAGTCAGAATATCCCAGATGATAATAGCCTGAGGGTCATCCTGCGTGTCCATCAAAGGGCTGAAGGTCACTAAATACCTACAAAAGAAATAATCAAGTTCACTGTCAAAACTTCATCTAATATGTAAGTACAAGTAGGCTTTCATCCAAGTAATATTTAAATACAATGCACTTTCAAACAGCAGTTTCTCTAATGGGATTTTTTGGAAAGAAGGGAAAAATAAGAACAGTGCAATGAAAGGGGAGAAAGCTTCCAAGACACAGTATTTCCCTGGCATCCCTCTGCCTGAAAAGACTCTAGATTTATGTGCAAGTCTTCCCATATTGGTCTTACAAGTGAGGGCCAACAGCCAAATACACTGTTACCTACTATATAGCTTTGCCACAAGAACATCATTGGTTTCGAACCGAATATAAATCCATTGACCGTAGCCAACCTGAACTATAGGTATGCTAGACTTCTGCATTTAAAGATAAATAACCTCTTTTTAATACAATAAAACATAAAACCTTACTGCTTCCAAATATGTTACTTGAAAACTAGCAAAACAAGATGCATCTCAGTCCTGAAATTATTTTAGCCTTCTCTAAAGAGCTCCTTAATGTTAAAGAAAGCTTAAGGAATTCATTTCAGTACTACAGATTTGGAGGATGCTACTCAACTGAAACTTTTCAGAGAACCAGAAATCTAACACTACAGACATCTCATCCAACTGAAGAGGAAAAAGTATGGTCCTCTCCCTTGGGGTAGTTAACATCTTTGAGGAAACTTGTCAGCTTATTTTTTTAGACCAATTATTCCAGATTATGTTAAGTATCATCCTGAAGTCAAAAAGTCAGGCAGAGTTTCACTCATTCTAAGAAGGATTTATGCATGAAAAGCAGTACTTCCAAAAGCAAAGGAGAACAGAAGACCCCAAGCACATGAGATTTGAAAGCACAGCAGCCAGAATGCCTGTGCTTCATGCTTTTCATCCCTTAGCCCAAACCAATGTCATACTCCATACCTTTCACAGGGTGAGAAGTCAATAAGCTGCACTCCCTGGTGACTAAACCTTTGAATCTGCTTGAACTTCTCTCCACCCCAAAGTGCGATGCCTCTCTGGTGGAATGTAGCCAAGTAGGTACCCTTTGGGGACCAACGTACATAGGTTTCTGTCCACCGCTAGATTTTTAAAAAAAAAAAAAAGTATACACAAAGGTTTAATTTCATGCAGGATTCCTAAAGGGGAAAGAATTAATGTGTGGCTTGTAGCATCACATTTCGCCAATCTATTTACTAAGTGAAGATCTGAGAATTAATGATATCTTGGGCTAGTTGGAGTTTAATTTCATGCACATATTGCATAATACTTATTCTTCAGGTTGAAAACTGTCAATTGAGACCTTTTCAACTTAAAGATCAGCAAAAAAATTTTCCAGGTACAGTGACAACCTTTGTATAGTAAACAATTAAACCCACCTAACAGGGTTGGGTTTCCTTGTTGCCTTTCAGCCCTGGTAAGAACATACTCAGAAGTAAGGGTAAGTATTTCGTATTTCTTAACAACAATACAGCTCTTAAGCTTCAGCTAAGTTAGAGAGGTTTCAACAATATAGACCACGGCCAGTGACCATGGTGATGAGGAAAATTACTCATCATTCCAGAGCCAACTTCTTTCTACTGTAATGGATCATGGTTATTAAAGAAAATGCTTCTGGGTACCAACAGTTCTCAGCAAGTCAACTGCCTGCAGCAGACAGGCACACTAACTCTCCCTTTTATGTGCTATTACCAAACCAGCTATTCCTCTTTAGCACCTCTGCAGTCAGCAAAAAAACAAGAAGTGATCAGAAGCAGCATACTTAAGCACATACTCAGCTCTAATGAATAGTACTCCTCAAACTCTGACTTCGCGTTTTCATGTCTTTTTGAATTACCTATAATATACAGATGAAGGAAACTAATAGGCATCATGGACCAGTTGGGGAAAAAAAAAAAAAAAAAAAAAAAAAGACCACCACAAACAAGTTAGCTCCACATTTGTTTTACCTAAGCAGCTAAGTCTAATTCTAAAGGATGCAATTTCATGACTCCTCTTCAAATGGAAGAAAAAAAGTATTTCAGCAATGGGGAAAAAAAATCTTTTTGAAAAAAAATTAAAAACCTGAAATGTCATAAAATGAATGAGACTGACAGTGTATCTGCAATGTACTGCACTTCCAGAACACTCACTGCTCTGTCCTCAATTTGAACAGGTTCCTTGATATCATTCCAAAAAATGGAGGTCCGGTCTCCTGACTCAAAGATCACACTGTACTGATCCCTGCAATCAGGATCTTCCAACCAGTATCGGAGATTCCCCTAAGAAAAACAGAAGCAAAAAAATTATTAGTGAGTCAGTTGCTAAGATGACAAGTTCCCCAAATTAGTATCTACCTGGCAGGTGGAAGTCGGTCTTACTCAAAGCATGCAACTTTGGAGTCTTACCATTGCAAGCCAGTTTTTAAAGTGAAATTAAATAACTCAAGCTACTGGTTACTGGAGGCTAAGAGAACAGACCATAAAAAGGTGGACCTTCAAGGTGGTTTGATGATGTTTAACACTTCTTGCCTCAAATAACTTAAGGGGTTTTTTTTTGTGTTTGTTTTGTTTGGTTTTTTTTTAAACTATCCCTTCCGCCACAGGACTTTTTACAAAGCTAGTGGTAACAAACACAGAGGTTTGCCTCAAAACATTTAAAAATATAAAAAGATGCTTTCAAAACTCTATTTTGAAATGACTTGTGCAAAATCATTATTTACTCAAGTTTTACCCTATGTGGACCTACTAAGCAGAACCACCAAGTTCTTCCTGTCACTTCATGAGAACGAGAACAAAGGAATAGGAGCACGCCATCACTACTGCTATTTGTAACAATGCTATTAACACATCATTTTTATTTTCACATGGACACTCCAGCAATGAAGTAATGATTTTGTATTATGCTGAATATTCTTTCCACTTTTCAAAAAAATCCTTACCAAATCCTTAAATGGCTGTTTCTCAGGGATTTCCCATTCATCACTGATTGTCATGTACCTGAAACAGCAATTTGATTGGTTACACTCTGTGCAGGCACTCTTCATTAGAATCCCCAAATCTACAGATACACACAATAGCTGCACTCACTTATCAAAGTCTGTGAAAAGGTTGACTCTGAAAGTGTGCTGTTTATCCAGTTTGTATCCATCTGCATTCTTCACTGCATCCACTGCATGAGACGGAGACATGTACTCCAGAAAGATGTAGCTACAATGAAGGAAGATGAAAGGAGCAAGTCATCGTTTAGACTACGTAACAGGCTCATAATAAAAAAGAAATTAAGTAAATAAGTAAAATAAAAAAGAAACAACGAGGATGAGCTAAGAACTCAGTACAGAGCATCTACGAAATAACTTCTTGTCTTGCCCCCAACCAGTGAGGGTCAAAAGCAATTAATCTCCATTTTGGCCACAGGCACATATACACTTTTTAGCTGTATGGGCTTGACCTGAATTAAACCGATATCCTTTCTGTAAATGGGCTAGACTAAGTGATGAATGCAAGTTCAATGCAATGCAGAATAACAATGAGAGCTAGTAACAGACAGGTTAAGTATGCAACTCTTTCCAGCTGAATGACAGATCACATTTAGAAACTGTAAATCTTGCCGTCACAAACATCTCAAAGCACCACTCTTGTTTTTCAATTACATCGAGTATAATTCAGCTTCCTTCTTGCCACTAATACCATCTAGCTCATAGCCCAGCAGACTTAAAATTAACAGTACCCTGAAGACTGTCATACCTCAAAGAGAGGCATGAACTCAGAGAAAATAATTTTCTCATGCTGACCTTACAGAACCAACAATCCCTCCACTCAAGAAAACCCACTTTTTTTATGCTTTCTAAACCATGGATTACTCCCAAGCTCAGGAATATGTGCTACTCCAACCACAGTAACAAGACTCATTAAAACGTCGTATTTATCAGATTGATTTGCGCCTGGTTTCTCTCCCTAAAACTTCCTTTCCCTTGCCCTCTCCCTTTGGGCTTGATCATTTCTGGTTAGCTTTCTCCTCAATTTCAGATGCTGCAGTTAACCTGCAACTGGGATCAGAAGTTGGCAAAGGGGAAAAGGGTCCCGGCAAGGGCTCACTGAACTTAAGGAAGTTGAAGTCACTAATGTAAGCATAAGCACTGGCAACCAGAGACAGAATATTGACAGTCCATTTTGCAATAAACAGTACATCCACTGCTACTAAGTTTTTAACTAAAATGGACCTTTAACCTATTTATTAGCCATGGCAGAAAAAAAACTCATTTAGTACTGCACAGAAATTTTACTTCCAAGCTCAGCTAAACTGCTTCCATAATTAACCCCCCACCCCGTAGCTTAATGAGCTATTAAGCTTCTCAGCTCCCTTGGGAACTTCTGTTTGTCACTGAGACTAGATGTCAGGATTTTACAGACTAAGGTAGAAGAAAGTGATGAGCAGGAGGTCACCATAAAAATTGGCCATAAAGTATTGACACTGATAATCAAGGGTAAGTCAAAGGAGTGTTTCAATCCTATTTCCAGTAGGAGTTATCATGACTTACCCTTTTGTCTTCCCATCTGCTTCTGGATAAAATTCATTGATAATTTTACCAAACTTCGAAAATATTTTGTGGATGACATTCTTCAGTTTCTCGAGTCGGTCTGGTCCAACCTGGGGAACATTATCCACGACAATCACTGAGTCAATTCCATCTGCCTCCTGCGGCTGATCTTTCAGCACATCACCAAGTAATTCTGCAAAGAAAAAGCACACAAGAAACTAAGGCACCAGTCTACATCATTAAGGAGGATGACAGAAAGATGAAAAGAATAGTGATAGCAAGAGAAGAGGAAGACTTCAAATTTCAGGAAATTTCAAGAATAATTTCAGAAATTTGGTAGGGAACGAACGTTCTACCAGAGAAACAACTGAAGCGAATACACAACGCTCCAACAGTACTTCCTTGCTAAGAGGCGTGATTATGCAGTTTCTTGACAAACTTCAAGCAGCTAACTCTTGGAGTCTTTCTTAAAGAAATACCTTACATTGAGGAAATCAACACTTGCACAATTAGCTTGTTTCAGGAGTTGGAACTGGCTCACGAAGTCCTCAAAACTGACGACAGAGCAGACAACTATAAGATTTACTACCCAAGCCCTGACTAGTAGCCTTGCTGAAATTATAACCAGGTGACTCTGATAAAAAGAAATGTACAATGTGCCTCCCTCCCAAATTACACGAGTTTTAGCATTATTCAAATCTATCTGCCATACTAGAAGCTCTGCTTGTCTTAGCATCACTATAATTATGTTTGAGAACTCACACTCCATCTAAACCTTTAATTAAACACAAAAATGAAGGTCTAAGACAAGACACTTAAAGCCATATTTAAGCGTGCTGCAAGTGAAGATGAGCACACACTGTTTCATACTCTGGATATTCTTCAACCATACTAATTCCCCTTTCCTATATAATCTTATAAATTTTGAGGGTACTTGCTGGTGGGATGGTTTGTTCAGTCCCTGCACTGTCAGCTTCAAGCTTCTTTCTACTGGGAAGAGATTGCTTACAACATCATTGAAGTTCCCCATGCATAGAAGGAAGAACATTCAGAAGGACTGTAACCCTGTAGCTGTGGCTTACATACCACACTGGGATAAAAACAGTTAAAAGGTACAAAGTACACCTATAAGTGGCACACAAAATTAGGAGCTTCAACAACAACGCTGAGTTATTCTTCATGTGGTAGGCTTCTAGACATACATTCTGTACAGTTCTATACATACCTTAAATTTAATCTATTCCTCAAGTCAACTCTGTTAGATTATTCTGTATCCACCAACTAAACCCCACTGACAATGTACGAATTTAAACACACTTTTCAAATTAACATTACCTAACTACAGAAACGTACTGACCTGTAGATCCAAGAGGAGTCAGAAAAATTACATCAATGACTCAATCCTCAATGGATTGAACTAGAAGAGCTAAAGACAAGGATATCCAAACAATCTCTCAAATAACTTTAACCTAAGGTTATTTTCAAACCTTTCCAGGAATAAAATCCCTCACTATCCCTAGCTATCCTGTTCAAACATACACTTTAATTCTTGTCTAGATTACTGATCATTTCGCAGTGTAATCAGTCATGCCCCTGCAACTTATTAACATGATTGCATTACTGTATTCTAAAGAAACATCAGTTAGAAGTGGCAGATTGTTTTATTGACATTTTTAGTTTTGTGCACTTAAATGCACCAGAATAGACATTCTGCTAACAAAAAAAGCCAAACATGCTGAAATAATTGGCAAAGTGTCACACACGCCATATAAATAGGAAAAATATATATGCATATCTGCAGTAAGTTTTAACCTTATGTAAAAGACCACTATAAAATGCAAGACTAGACAGAAAATAAGTGCATGCCACTATACTTCTGAATCAGAATATAAAAACAAAATATGGAGAGTCAGACTATATATAGCATTCACAGACCAGGGGGGGAAAAATATCCAAACCCATGTAGAAACATTTAAAATATGAGAACAAATGAAAAAGGGTGTTGGATGTGTTGGTATTTTGAAGACATCTTTACAGAATTTTGCTCGTTTTGGAATTCTAGAAATTATTCTACCCAGAAACAGCACTGGAAAAAATCTCTAGCAGTGAAGAGATATGCTTACTTTGAATTTCAAAATACCAAAAAACCTTGGCCTTCTATATCTTTAAGCTTCAACAGGTTACTAGCTTTCCATTGATTTTGGGCAATACGCTTTATAGAAGTTTATATGCATAACCAGATGCTATTACCACCAAGATTATGTAGTACTCACAGAATGTTGGTGTTCATAGCATTTATTACTCAAAAAGATGCTCTCTGTGTGCATGTAGGAACTACAAATAAAAAGTTAAAGGATGCTAACTTGTATAATAAAAACAAAGACCCAGAAATTGTGAAAACCTACTATTAATGGTAGCAACTAAAGCAAGCTGAAGAGGTTAGAGGAATAATCCTCCACGTTACGTCATTTTACTTACTCCGCACACTTTAGATCATACCCACAAACTTCTCCCATTTATAGCAACTGTTTACTAGTTTGTAGCAACTATTAAAAAATGGCCAAGACCACATCTATGCTTCAGAGCAAGTCAAATATTCAGTGAAGAGCGTACAACGCAAAGATTAGCGAAGAGCAGGAGGCCTTGCTTGAAGCGGATGTTTCAGAAGTTAGAAGAGAGCCCTTAGTGGGGAGCAGCAGACTGAAAAATGGGAGAAGAAAAAGTCAAGCACAGGAAAAGTTAAAAAAAAAAACAAAAAACACACAAAACCCCCACAACCCTGAGTTAACAACAGATATTCTGATAGCACAAAACCATACACATCACTGAGGATGAGCAAAAAACTTGACAGGAAGACAGAGGTACCAGTCCCAATAAGCACAATCACAGATGATGGTAACTTTAAGAGCATTATTTGGAACAAATAGGTAGTTAAAGAAATAGAAGAAAAATGGAACATACAGCAAAACACTGAGTTCTTTCAAAAGCGGTGGGTATCAGGAATCACTCCATAGACAGTATTTTCTACCACACAGACTAAAAGTGGTTTAAGTTACTACCGAAGGTATTTTGGACCACCTTCCCCTGCTCCTTTAACTTTCTGCTGCAAAGTTGAAAGCTGACTCAAACTGTTACAGATCCAGAAGAGAACACCACAGATGAGTGCTGCAAGTTAACCTCCTAGTATATACTGGATCTCAAGATACTCCTTCAGGAGTAAGCCATTCTCCAGGTAGCTGACAATACACTCAAGTTGTGAATAGGTAATCACTTGCCTAGGATGTAGGACACACAGAGTGAAGTGTCTGCTATGCCTACAAAAATTGTAAGGATTGAAAGGAGGAATTTAAAAATCTGATATTACAGTAAAATAGTAAGTAAATTTCTTATTTACCCTATAATCCCATATCTTAGATTTTCCCTGCATATAAAATGAAAGCATGTCCCACAAGGACATTTCCACAGAAGTCTACACGCAAAGAAAAAAGAAAAAAACCAAAACACACAAAAGGGTAATTTTTTTAGGCTCTATTAGTCATTTTTTCCATAACCATTTCTCACAAAAGACTTTGTAGGCCTGCAGACAAACAAAGGAATGCATATTTAGATTCACGTGCAGGAATGCAACACCCTGTATTGAATCAAAACTGTAACAGATTAAAGACAAATGCCTACATTGTACCCCTCCTCTACCTTAAATTCAAAATTGCGAGCAAAGGAATCTTCAAAGGGCAAGATGCTGGTTTAGCCAGCTCTCATTCCACCCACAAAAAAAGCAGGGTGTGGTAGGTACACAGCTATTTTCAGCTGGCAGTATTTTAAGGACCACTATCATTATCTGAACTAAAGCTTCATTGCACCCCTTCTCCTGCTTGAGCTTGGATCAGCTGTTCTGCCATGCCAACACCATTCTGGAAAAAAAAAGTTGAACTAATGCGTGTGAGATGGTCCAATCCTAAAGCTGGTCCAGCTCAAAGGTGTTCCTGAAGATATAATGTTATCATAAGCATTGAAACAGCCTTCGCTCAGTGACACTGATGGACTGCCTTTCTCTACGGGAAGTCATCAAGGTAAGGGGAAAGAAATAAGGAAGCTCAAGAAGTAACACAGAGATGGAAAGCCAGACCAGCAAGAGTGACTAAACTTAAACACTGTAATTCAGAGACTAACACTGTATTATTCATACAGCTGAGAAGTTAACCAAATTAATCCTTAACAATAAAATAGGTAAGGATGGAAAATACGGCTAGTTTCTGAATAGACAGAAATGAACATAATAATCCTAGATGTAGACAAAGTGTATGACGTAAACACTTAACTAAATAAAAAGAATCCAACTGTATACTTGCAGACAATTTTTGCCAAGGTCTCTAAGAAAGAAATGTACAAGTTCAAAACACTATACACTCTGCTAAATTGAGAATAGCAAACGCTTCCTTAATGTAAGATATTTTTCTGACATTTTATTAAGCTAAACACAGGACTGGAACACTAGAAGGCATATATATCACCTGTATTCCACTGCCAATTAAAATAACTAACTGACTGACTTACAATAACATCCTTTCAGAAATATTTTTCTAGCTGATACATGTAATGTAAGACCCTACAACATGTAGGATATATATGTAAGACCCTACAACAGCACATATGCTAGAACAAGTATTGGCAAAATAAGTACTTTTGCTCTTCTGAGAATTAAGATGATTTATCTAGAAAAATTTATATGAAAAATATTAAAATAGAATTCTAACTCCTGTATGCCAAAATTAGGTATTCCCATAATTATCAATGCAGCTACACAATGCCTTAGCTATCTTAAGACAGTCAATATCCAATCCTTTTAAAAGAGCCTCAGTTTGAATTTTCAACTGCCAGAAGTAATTTTTCTGTATTTTCTTGTCACAGAGTACCTATGTCACATCTTCGTGAGCAGCAACTCTTCTCATACCTGTACTATTTGTCTACGGATTTCACTCTGGATGCGTGGGAAAAAAACAGAACGATGAAATCTAGTTTGTAAACATCAGGTCAAGAATTTTAAAACTTCTGTTTTTACAGTGGAGTTTAACGAACGGAGGCAAACGGAGAGCATGCAAGTTGGTGATTCCACTCTCTGAGCGCGGCCCCACAGATCGATGCCTCAAGTCTGATAGCACGTTTGAGAACAGCTGTTAAGCAGTACCGTACGGGGCACAGGTAAGCCAGAAGAAGTTTCATTTAAAAAAACACCTCTGCGATGAAGAAGTCTACTTGGCGATACGAGCAGTCCACCACCACCCCGGAGAGGCCGCCGCGGCAGCACGGCAAGAGCCAGCAGCCGGGCCCACAGCCGCTCGGGCCAGCGGAGCGTTTCCCAGCCGAGGATCCGGCTTCCCCCCGCCCTGCTCTCCCGGAGGGTACGGCC